ATCATATCTAGGCTCAACTACATCAACTCCCTGCTTCTTGGCCTTCCCAACTCTTGCCTCCACAAGCTGAGATCATCCAGAACTTTGCAACTCATCTCCGCTCCCACACCAGGCTCCATGACCTCATCACCCCCACCCTAGCCCGGTTCCACTGCTCCCCACCCCCAGAGAATAGAGTTCAAAATCCTCATCCTCTCCTTGCCCCCTCCTACCTCTGTGACTCTGCTAAACACAAATCAACCTGTCCGCTCCCTTCACTCAGCAGGCTCCAGCCTGCTCCACGTCCCTGTCCGGTGCACCCCACCATCGGCGGTTGGGAGTTCAGCCTTTCTGCCCCCCCCTTTGGAACTCCATCCCACATTCCCTTTGCCTCACTGCCTCCTTTACGGGACATCTCAAGACCCTTCTCTTCAGCCACCTCCCTGATCCAAGCCCCTCCCTTCCACCTCCCGCTTGGGTCCAAATCCCTTACTGTCCAGTGCCTTGGGATGCCCTCCCGACGTGAAAGTTGCTATTTAATGTAATTTTGTATTGTATTTTTGTACATTAAAACTTATTTTCCACTTTTTTTAAAAGAAACACCATCAATTGTCAGACTCCATGTATTCTTCACTTGTAGAATACCAAAATTATTTCGCTATCTAATTTTTTAAAAATAAAATCATTAATTTAATCATATTACCAGTCGGTTTTACACAGGATAAGGCTTTTGTTAGTGGACAATCTAGAAACAAAAAGTAATAAAAGTACAGCATTCCAATTTCTTCTAATGCTAGACCATCTCGTAAGAACATAGGAATTTGCTAGGCGAAAGAAGACCAAGGTCTATCTCGTTCACCATCCACCATCCTGGCAGTGCCTTAACATGTCATGCACCAAACTATACTGTATCCCAGGAAATTATTTTCTAGCAGAAATCTATCTAATTTGTTCTCGACACAAACAACACTTTCTACTTCCACCGTCTCCCTAGGGAGCCTGTTCCACAAGCTCACTGAAGTAGTGTCTCAACAGATTTGTTCTGAATTTAACCCCCCTTCAATCGCAGGCAATGTCGTCTGGTTCTACTATTCAGTATAAGATAAACCGGCTTATTATGGTCTACATTTTCGAGTCCCTTCAGAATTATAAAGACGGTAATTATATCACCCCTCAACCTTCTCTTCTCCAGCGTGAATCTAAGCCCAGTTTACCTAATTGCTCCTTGTAGTCCAGTCCCTCTATCCTTTAAGTCATTTTGGTTGCCTTCCTCTGTATCCTTTCAATTGCTACAATATCCTTTATATATTGTAGTGACCAGAACACGCACAGTATTCCAAATGATGTCGCACCAGTGAATTATAAAATGGCAGGATTACCCCACTATTTCGGCTCAATATTGCCCTTTTAATACAGCCCAGCATCTAGTTTAACCTACTCACTGCAACCATACAGTTGCATATGATCTGTATCATTTTCTTCTATTTAAATAATAGTCCCTTCCTGGATATGTTGTCCCCCTGCGCAGCTTTGTATTCTGTTAGGAGTCTGTCCTTCATATATTTGATATTTTCCATAACCCCCAAATATTGCACGAGGACAAATTTCCTCTCCCTTTCTTAAACCAAGATCTAACTCGCACATCCTTATTAGCATATTCATTTAAAATTATTTTTGACATTTGAGTGCAAAGCTCTTTAGGACCCATGCATGGTCATATGAAATATAATACAATCATTCAATCAGATTCACCAGCACACCAGAGGAGCTGGACATGATTAAAATTAAACTGAATGTATTTTTCAGACCAGTGGCTCTCAACCTTTTTGAGCTCAGCACCCCTTGATGCCTGTTATGACCCACTAAATATCTTTAGTGTAAAAAATCTGTCTTACTAAATATTTCTTACCTACAATATACACATTAACACAATAAGAGCTAAATGCAGCAAATACTAAAATATAGTACTTATGTGTTTGTTGTATAAATCTGAGGTTCCACTTAATGAAAAACCTGACTTCTCTTTGAGTTTGATATAATCGTAGCCAATGCAATCTGAAGGTCACGCTCAACATAGTCTATTCCTTTTATTTTTCAGTTGACTCGAGGCTGAAAATCTCATTTCACACAAGTATGTACTGTAGTACTGACTGGCAAAATAACAGTATGGCTCGCAAGAGCAAGAATTCACCTGCAGCATTGCAGTGAATGGCTAATCACCGGCACCTGCTCCAGTTTAAATAACATGATAGAGCTTTGACCACAAGACTTGCAAGTTCTAAATTCAATTTTCTACAACAATCATGTTCGTATTAATTCAGTGACGGGCCCTTATAATTAGGAGCCAGCCAAGACCAAGTAGCCTGTACAAGGGCCAGTTGTTGGGGAATGTAGAGAATTTAGGAACTGCGATTCCTGCAGTAGAAGCTCATACACACCGTTAACATGCAGTGCTGACATGTAACCATCCCTCATCTTCAGTCACAACAGATTTCCAGCTTGGACCACCAAACTCATTCAGGCTATGACTTGCCAGGTTAATAACAATAATCCTTATTATTATTATTGTTAAAAGAGCTGACTGGGAAGAATCCCTGCCCCCAGTGACTGGTCTGCCAATCCAAGTCCCATCAATGAGCCAGGCTGGCTAGGATCAGCAGTGCCCTTGAGTGCTCAGGAACCAGTCAAGAGACCACCTCAGATGGTGGACTTGATTCCAACGTGCTTTGGACTTGATTGCCAAACGTGCTAGTTCAGTTGTAAGGAGACCCTGTTTATGTCCCCACAAGAGGATCTGCCCACTATCCAGGAAAAACTGGCAAGGCAACACAACCAGTATGATCTATTTAGCTTGCTGTGCTGGTCACCATCATCTCCAGAAGCGTGATGAGATATGACACCAGGAAGCAGTAAGTCCACACAGGGCAATCCCGTTACAATGCAGCATCTCGGATCCAAAATATTTGACACTGTTATAACAGGTCTAAGGTCTACAGAAAACCAGGGCCGCCAGTCCCGCTTCAATCATCAGGTTGCCATTGCCATTCACGTATACTGCATGGGAAGCATCACTACATCACTTTCTTTGGCCAGTCAGCCTAACGTCAGTGGGAAAACTTCTAGAGACAATAATGCAGAACAAAATAAATTCATAGAAAAATATGGGTTAATAAAGGACAGCCAAAGTGGATTTCTTAAAGGCAAATTGTGTCTAACAAACCTGATAAGAGTATTTTGATGGAAGTAACGGAGAGAGTGGATGAAGGTCCTGCAGTTGATGCAGTTTATATGGAATTTTCAAAAGGCATTTGATAAAGTGTCACATAAGAGAAACAAAATAGAAGCCCACGGTATTAAAGGGACAGTGGCAGCGGATACAGAACTGTCTGGGAGACAGAAAGCAGAAAGTGGTGGTGAACAGTTGCTTTTCTGACTGGAGTGTGCAGATGATTCTAAGCTAGGAAAAGTAGTAAAAAGTGAGAAGGATAGTAGCAAGTTTGCAGAGCTATGGGGAGAGATCGGGATTGATTTGGATAGCTCTTTTCAAAGGCCGGATAGACACGATGGGCCAAATGGCCTCCTTCATAGAATTGTAGAATTATAGAGCACAGAAGGAGGCCATTCAGCCCATCTTGTCTGTGCCGGCTCTTTGAAAAGAGCTACCCAAATCAATCCCACTCTCCCATTCTCTCCCCGTAGCCGTGCAAACTTGTCTTCCCAAAATAGTTATCTACTCTCTTAAAAGTTGTTATCGGCTTCCACCACCCTTTCAGGCAATGCATTCCAGATCCGAACAACTTGCTGTATGAAAAAATTTCTCCTCGTCTCCTGTCTGTTTCTTTTCACAACTATTTCAAATTGGTGCCCTCGGATTACTGACCCACCCGCCACCCTTCTGTGCTGTATAATTCTACAATTCTATGTAAAGTATGTGGACATCATCAGCAATCTGTCAATCCAGAAGGCAGCCATGTTTTAGCATGAGAGGTCATCAAGTCAGTAGTGGGTGTACAGTGCTTGCAGAACACAGTAGAACCACACAATAAGCAAACCAGAATGCTTTTCAACGATCACAAAGGTCTGACAGCAATAGCATTTAGTTTAGAGAGTCATAACATCGGGAACCTTTAGAAACACTGCTTGTACCAATATTTTCCATCACTAGCTTCTTTCTATTCATCAAATTCACTTATAGAGGACCATCAAAGTCCAGATGTAGAAAGATGACTGAATTAACAAACGGAGAGGCAACTAAAGTATTGACAATCTACTCGTTTTAATTCTACTCTCATCAGTCACACTCTCAATATCTCCTATAAAACACCACCAGTGTCTCCATGCCATACAATACGGTTTAAATGTAATACATTTAATTTTATAGCACTTCTCTGCAATAATTGATTAGAAATTAAGTAAATGTTACCCTATAAGCAAAAAGGGACAGCTACATTTATGTAAATAGATTAATGAAATCAAAGAATTAACATCCATTAGTTGTATTCCCATTATATTACTTTATAACAATCTTAAGTGCAGCTCAAACAAGCTTCACCCATTTAGTGAATCACTGGTTTTTGTGCTCGGGAATACAAAAGTAATAACCAATTCTTCCATTTGATATAGCGACTTAGCATGTGGTTAAAAAGTCTCAAAAGGTTTTACCTCTAAAGTATAACCCTTCACAGGAATTACTGTAAAGTGCGTTTGTGAAGGAATGCAGCACAAGTCACATGAAGCTGCTTTGCGCGGAGAGTTTTATGAGACGTTTCCAAGTCGGATTTTGCTGCTCCTTATTATTTCACAAATCGTACATTTGCTATAGCGCCTTTCACGTTGGGAGAACGTCTTAAAGCGCTTCTCAGCAAACACTGCACCCGGAGTCTCTCCCTGACTGCGCTGCTGTCACCCCCGCCCGAGCGGCGGGGCGGCCTGGACAGGGAGTGCAGTCGGGAGCGGGTGAACCGGATCCTCCTGATGGGAGGATTCACAAATGCCGTTATTTCACGGCTCCTTTTTTTCACCTGAGCCGCGTCTTACTCTCTGTCCGCAGTGCACCGCAGCGCCGCCTCGCTCTTGCAGCCCCTCACGGACAGGGCTCTCCCAGCTGCCGCCCCCGGGGGCCGAGCTCCACACCCCACAACGGCCTGAGCCGGGCCCGGGCCCGGGCCGCTTCAGCCCCAGTGTTCCTCCACTTTCCCTTTACCTGCAGGCGGCGGGTACAGGCTGCGGTCTGGGCGCTCGGGCTCCGTGTGCTGCGGCTCCGGCTCTCTCACCCTCACTATTCCTATGGCGGAGCTCCTCTCTCTCTCTCTGACTGGCCCTGTGGCGGAGCTCCTCTCTCTCTGACTGGCCCTGTGGCGGAGCTCCTCTCTCTCTGACTGGCCCTGTGGCGGAGCTCCTCTCTCTGACTGGCCCTGTGGCGGAGCTCCTCTCTGACTGGCCCTGTGCGGAGCTCCTCTCTCTGACTGGCCCTGTGGCGGAGCTCCTCTCTCTGACTGGCCCTGTGGCGGAGCTCCTCTCTCTCGGACTGGCCCTGTGGCGGAGCTCCTCTCTGACTGGCCCTGTGGCGGAGCTCCTCTCTCTGACTGGCCCTGTGGCGGAGCTCCTCTCTCTGACTGGCCCTGTGGCGGAGCTCCTCTCTGACTGGCCCTGTGGCGGAGCTCCTCTCTCTGACTGGCCCTGTGGCGGAGCTCCTCTCTCTGACTGGCCTAAAGAAAAGCTGCTGATGACAAGCACTGGCTCACATGCACATGTGTGTTTGCACCCATGTGTGTTCGCGCGTGCGTGTGTGTTGCCTCCCACTACCTCACTCCTCCGTGCATTTGTTGAAATCACATCTGTGTTTCGCTGTAGGAGTGAAGGGGCTGTGTGCGTGTGTGTGATTAATCCCCGCGGCTGCTCTCGGAGAAGTCCTCACTCTGTACTGCCTCCCAGTGTTCAGACACGGATCTGGGTTCAGTCTGTGAGTGCTAACTAAACTGCCCTTTACAACCTACTTTCAAACAAATACAATTCTTGGAGCTAAGAGGTGGATGGACCAACCACACGTGTCCACAGTGTGTTGTCGTGGCTTCAGACTGACTGAGGACAGAAGAGACTGCGTGTGAGTGGGACAGCTTCACTGCAACTCTCCAGGGAGCTGAGCACTGGGGCCCAAAGAAAAAGCCTTCACCCCCTTGTGATCAGGAGGAGTGAGGAGCCGTCTCATCTGATCCGGGGAGTCCTCAGAGGATACCAGGCACGGCTGAGCTGCTGGATGTTAATGTGTGATTGTCTCTTGCCTTTATTCACTAAATTCATCATTTTCTGTGTGAGAGAGGCGTCTTCAGTTTAGAACTGAAAAAAATCCTGCTGATCTAGACTCACTGTGTCTCTAACCTGCTCTGTCACTAACCTGGGAGTGTGGACGGACAGAGTAGATGGAGCTTTACTTTGTCTCTAACCCATGCTATTGCTGAGCTGGGAATGTGGACAGTGGTATTGGATGCCCAGAATGGGGAATGCTCCATGTCACTCATGAGCACATTATATACATGTGATAAGAGTTGTTCCTGGAGCTGGTGACTGCAGGCAATTTACAAAGCTGCAAATGTTCTCCCCTCAGTGACCAGCACTGTGGGTAATGGCAGCATGATGCGTCTGAGGTTTGCACATTGTCTTCTGTAAGTAAATCCTGATGTTTGTCTCTCGTGTGTCTGTTGTTTGTGCCATGTTGGTGTGTCTGGGTTTGAAGAAAATCAGCTGTTACCTGTCACTGAGGATAGTATAACATCTCAACTGGTATCTAATCTACTGAACTATGTGTGGCTCCACTGGGGTCAGGCCAAGATTTGGTTTGGAACTGAGGCTGGGATTCCACATCAAATTTAGGTGTTAAAGGCAGGTGTTTGTTTCCTATATCTCCCAGTGCCAGTCACTACGGACCAATGTAAGGCAGACCCATGGGTCCTACTCATAGGTGTCAACCAGGCTCAGCTGACAGCACTCATCCACGGGACAGGAGGCTGTGGGTTCAAAATCCATGTACGGACTTTGAACTCATATAGTTTAAGCTGATGCTCTATTGCATTGCTGTAGGGAGCAGCACATTAGAGATGCCATCCTTCGGATATCAAGTTAAATCGAGCCTGTTCAGGTGGACATTAAAGATCTCATGGCACTATTGGAAAAGAGAAGGAAGTTTCTTCCAGTGCTGGCCAAAGATCCTCCAAATAAAATTGGTCATTGACTTCTGTTTGTGGGACATTGCTGTGCTGTGCTGTGAAAAGCACTATATCAAATGCAAGGATTATTATTATATTATTGTTTACATGCTCCCCCTCGGTGATACAACAACAACAAGATTCCATTTATAGAGCGCCTTTCACGTCGGGAGGACGTCCCAAGGCGCTGTACAGTTGTGTCAGGACCCGAGCAGGGGGGAAATGGTCAGGGTGAGGGGAGGGAAGGGAGGGAGTGAGGAGGGGGTAGAGAGTCGAGAGGGGAGCTGAAGGCTCGGTCAAAGAGAAAGGTCTTGAGACCGGCCTTGAAGGAGGAAAGGGAGGAAGCGGCGAAGGCACTGGGGGATGGAGTTCCAGAGCCTCGGGGCTGAGAGGCTGAAGGCCCGGCCACCGATGGTAGGGCGGTTGGGGCGGGGGATGTGGAGCAGACCGGAGCCAGAGGAACGGAGGGTACGGGCAGGTAGGTAGGGGGATAGTAGGTCGGAGAGGTAGGAGGGAGCGAGGCCGTGAATGGCCTTATAGGTGAGGATAAGGATCTTGAATTCGAGACCTGGGGTCAACTTCCACATGTATTCGGATAATACCCAAATCTATTTCTCCTCCTACCGTGACCCCAGCTCCACTGATGTTCTGACAGTTTTTGTGAGATATCTTCAAACTTTGTAGAATCATAGAATCATAGAGCACAGGAGGCCACTTGGCCCATCATGTCTGTACCGGCTCTTTGAAAAGAGCTTTTCCAAATCAATCCCACTCTCCCTCCCTCCCTATAGCCTGCAAACTTGTCCTCCCCAAATAATTATCTACTGTTACCGAATCGGCTTCCACCACCCTTTCAGGCAATGCATTCCAGATCCAAACAACTTGCTGTGTGAAAACATTTCTCCTCACCTCCTCTGTTTCTTTTAACACTTAATTTAAATCGGTGCCCTTGGGTTACCAACCCACCCGCCAGTGGAAATAGTTTCTCCTTGTTCACTCTAGCGAATCCCCTCATAATTTCAAAAACTTCTATTAAGTCTCCTCTTAACCTTCTCTGCTCCAAGGAGAATAATCCCAGCTTCTCCTGATAACTGAAGTCCCTCATTCCCGGTACCATCCTGGTAAGTCTCCTTTGCACACTCTCCAATGCCTTGACATCCTTCCTAAAATGTGGGGTCCAGAAGTGAACACAGTCTCTCGCTGAGGCCTAACCAGTGTTTTATAAAGATTCATCATAACTTCCTGACTTTTGTATTCTATGGCCCTATATATAAAGCCAAGTATCCCGTTTGCTTTTTTAACAGCTTTGTGTACCTGTGCTGTCACCTTCAAAGATTTACTTATATGAACCCTCAGGTTTCTCTGTTCCTTCACCCCTTTAAGATTGTACCATCAGCGTATATCGTCTCTCCTCATTCTTCCTCCCAAAATGCATCATTTCACATTACTCCACATTAATCTTCATCTGCCCCCTGTCTGCCCATGTTACCAGTCTGTCTATGTCCATTTGCAGTCTATTACTGTCCTCCTCACTGTTTACTACTTTTCCTAACTTAGTATCATCTGCAAACTTGGAAATTGTACTCCCTGTACCCAAGTCCCGGTCATTTATAGATCAAAAACAGCAGTGGCCCCAATCCTGACCCTCGGGGACACCACTGCTCACTTCCCTCCGGTCAGAAAAACAACCGTTCACCACCACTCTCTGCTTTCTGTCTCCCGGACAGTTCTGTATCCGCTGCCACTGTCCCTTTAATACTGTGGGATTCTATTTTGCTCACAAGTCTCTTATGTGGCACTTTGTCAAACGCCTTTTGAAAATCCATATAAACGACATCAACTGCACCTTCATCCACTCTCTCCGTTACTTCATCAAAAAACTCTGTCAGGTTTGTTCGACATGATTTGCCTTTAACAAATCCGCTCAGTGTCAGCCCCGCCCCCGCCCCCCCGCTCAGTGTCAGCCCCGCCCTCCGCCCCCCGCTCAGTGTCCAGCCCCCCCCGCCCCCCGCCGCTCAGTGTCAGCCCCGCCCCCGCCCCCCCGCTCAGTGTCAGCCCCGCCCCCGCCCCCGCTCAGTGTCAGCCCCGCCCCCCCGCTCAGTGTCAGCCCCGCCCCCCCGCTCAGTGTCAGCCCCCCCCCCACCCCCCCGCTCGGTATCAGCCCCGCCCCGCTCAGTGTCAGCCCGCCCCCCCGCGGCCTCATCTCACGTGACCGAGTGCTGCATCAATGGAAGTGTCTGTTGTTGGCTCAGCCCCGCCCCCGCCAGGCGTTACGCCGTGGGGAGCTCTCGCGATGTTTGGTACCCGTTGGCGCGCGGTGACTGGCTGTTTGTACCAAACGGATGCATTTCGAACTGTATTGAAGGCGAGAGGGGGCAGCTCCGCCACAG